TTCTTGACCTCCTAACAAATCCTTTTTTTCCAGGAAGATGGCGTTCAATTTTTTTCTTTTTTTAATATGAAAAATTATGTAAATTTCTTGACGATGTTGGTGCAGTTAGTGATCTCAATCTGAGAAGTCATGTAAAGAAAAATTTATAAAAAAATAAAAAAAAAAATTGAATTGACACGGCAAATATAACTATCTTGATATAATAACCCAACTAAGGGTTTAATTGAAGAAAATAAAAGAACTGAAGGTCTATATGTGAAAAAGAAGGATATAGGGTTTACAATTAAATAAGAAGCAAATGTCAGGGATTGAAATGAATCAAATAAGAAAAATTTGGGGTTAAATTGCAAATACGGGCACTATTCATTTTACCCTTCTTTCAAAAACCTAACTATGATATCCGATTCTATCGTGGAGTTTGGCATTATCTAAACTCCAATTGGGTGCATATTTAGGTAGACATAAGCCTTTAGAATGAAAATGCTAAGCCAATTTCAACTTGAAGACCCTCTACTCTCATTTCCATCTTTATCCTCATAGCCACCAATCCAAGAACTTGATTACACCTCATGTTCGACTATCAGCCATTGCAAGTACCCTTGCCCTTTTCATGACTGTGTTCTTGATTCGTAGAGCAACCAACCGAGGCCACTACCATTTGGCACCCCTTCCTCCATTATTGCCAATTGACTATTAATTGACCTATTTGCACGATTTGTTGGCACCAACTTCTCCATATTTTTTCCATTGTGAACCTTCTCCATTGTTGATGCCATGGATGCCAGGAGAATCAAGTATAAAAGGAACTTCTAGGTTAGAAGGTATTCAAGTCTAGAAGAAAACGTAAGTTGGGACTCAGGTCCACATAGATGTGTGGATCCAATTTAGATCCGAATCTTTGGATTTAAATGAGAATCAAGTTTGGGTTTGGATCCAGTTCAATAATCTATGAACTAGGTTATGAGTTTTGAATTGAGTAACTAGGTCAGATCAAGGTTACAAATCCGATTTTGGCCTTCGGATTTGGGTATAATTGATTAAGACATATAAGAAACTTACTCAATGAATGGTTGAATTTCAATACAATTCATTAAAATATGCAAATTTGTTGATTTTAACTCTTGTTTGGATAATCATTGGTATCTACAAGCTCTAGAATGTGATTGAATTGATTAAAAATTGAGAGACATGGGGCTCTTCCACCACTTTCACCTTCATCATCTTTAAAGAGCTCTATTTTTTAAAAGCATTACAAATACCTCAAAATAATATGAATTAAAGTGACACATATTTCGAGCTAATTATACCTCTTGTATTGAGTCCTCAACTTGTACTTTATTTTTCACTGATTTATTAAAATCTATCTTCACCTCAATTAATTTCAAGTCAATTATATATAAACAAAGTTTATGAAATAAAGCAAAATATTAAAATTTTAAAATTACCTTTTAAAAGGATAAATCTATCTATACTTTTCAAAAAATTTAAGAATACCTTTCATTAGCCCAGTTTAATAAAACTAAAATTTTACCAAAAAATAACTATTGAATTTGTATCATTGAAATAGTTAACAAAAATTACTCAAATTCATTATTTGTTAAAATTAAAAAATTAAAACTAAGCCCAATTTAATAAATTATGCAACACAATGTAATAAATAAAGTCCAATTTAATAAGTCCAATCATAAACCCAAAAAGTTAAATTCTTAAGCCAATTCAATTAAATAAAATCCAATCTAATAATCTCAATCATAAATCCAATAAATTAAAATTCTTAGCCCAATTCAACAAACAAAGTCCAATCCATTAAAACTAAGCCTAATTCAGAAGCCCAATTGGACATTTTATATTTTTTCTTCAAAAATAACCATTTTATATTTTCTTTAAAAATTTTAATATTTCTTACATTAGACATTGAAGTCCGGTGGATGAAAGGGTCTTCCTCTCTCTCTCTCTCTCTCTCTCTCTCTCTCTCTCTCTCTTGATGATGATGATGATGACAAAGATGATAATAATAAATAGCTAATTATATAGTTCAATATGTTCTTGGAAATAATAAATTTGGCCGATTAAAATGCACCAGGCCGGTCATGTATTTATGACCACTACACAAACAGGCCACATGGTTTAATGTACCGTGTCTTGAAAATTTTTGTTTTTTTCAACACTTGTGGCTAAAGGAAAATAATTTTGGGCCTTATTATCCATATTGGAGAATATAAGTTCGGCCCTAAACTGTTGGGCCTTTGGGGTTTACGGACCATTTTAACGTGAAATTTTCTGATTTGTTTTACTCTTTTTTTTTTTTTATTTTGCGGTGAAAAAAGATTCTGCTTCTTTTAATTTTTTAAAAATAATATTCAATTTTATTCTTGCTTTCAGAAAACAACCCTTTTTTTTTTTACTCAAATTGACTTACAGTTTCCATCCACTTCCTTTAGATAATATTATTTTAAAATATCAAATTTAAATTTTTGTTATATTTTATAGAAATAAAATAATTTTTCATATAATATAAAATTAAACTGTTTAATATAGTCAACAAATATTAACTAATTAATTCATTCACTAAAAAGATTAATTTTTATAAATTTATAAATTTTTTTACTTTTACATCACTTGTTTTAATATGAAAAAATTATTTGTTTAAAAATGGTACAATTAGATTTTTAAAAGTTAATTTTTTGATTTCTTTAAACCTTTTATTTGGGATGAGTAACCCAGGTAGGTGAAGTTAGATTATCCTCACATCTTTTAATAGAACCTTTAATTTTTTTATTTATCATATTTTGAAATCAATTTTTTTAGAGATACCAAATTAAAAGGTGCAAATACTTCTTTAATAAATTGTAAAATCATTTTGTTAATAAGTTAAGTTTTTTAAAATTTTTCATTTTTAATTTTGATAGTAAATTAATTAATATAAAAATTATAAATTTAAAATTTTTAAAAAATTAATGAATGAAACAACTCATTAATATTTTTTATTATAATGAACAATTTAATTTTATATGATAAGGATTTTATTTTATTTTATTTTATAAAATATGTTTATACAATATATTTAATATTATATATTTTACAAAAAAATAATTTGATATTTTAAATTAATATTATCTAATGATAAGTGGATGAAAACTTTAGTCAACTCAAGTCAAAGGAAAAGAGCATTTTTTAGGGTAAAAATGGAGTTTAGTATTATCTAAAAAAACATTGAAAGTAGGGGAGTATTCTTTTTACCTTTTATTTTTTATGGAATGTTGCCTAGTTTGAAGGTTTTAAAGATAACTTTCTTACAAAGAGTTCATAGTTAGGCTTTCTCAAAAACTAATGATAAGAATTGGTATAAACTCATGACATTTATTTAAAGATTGATATTTATATTTTTGTTAAAGGCTAATATGTTGAGATAGAATGGTACCCTTCCATCTATTAAGATATGCTCAATGTTATAAATTCATTATCCTCCCTACGAAAAATGTTTTTATTAAGATAGATAGTACTATCATTTATATTTCAACCGCCTCCTTTCTCTCTGTCCATCTAAGATATGAGATATCTTTCTACACTATTTACATTTAACATCTTTGTTAAAGGGGATATCAAGAGTTCCTCACATGATCCCTGCCTTTGTAGAGCACCAAAATACCGTGGATAGGTCATAACAGCATAGACCAGCCACTCAGTTTTGGAAAAATCATAAAAGGAAGCTACCAAGTTACAATTGAAGGTACAGTTCATCGCCATAGGGGGCAAGAGCTAGAAGCCTACCAGAAAGTTTCTTTGAGTTCACACCATACGATTAAATTCCATGTGGGTAAGAAGTATCTGAGTTGAAACCTCTAATAAACTTCGGCGCGGTTTCCTTTCTCATTCCTCTTTTTAATTAATGAAAAAAAAATAAAAAATGAAACATTAATAAATTAAATATAAATTGAAACTGTAAGTCTAAGGTGGTGTTTGCATATATCAGGAGTTTGAGCTTAAATAGAGGTAGGTCAAAGTGGATTATAAGTAGAAAGTGAATTTTTTTGTAAAATATGTTTTAAAATTCTTGAAAGTAGTTTTTAGGAGAAAAAAATTGAAAAAAATTTTAAAAACTCTAAAAAAAATTCTGTGAAGTAATTTTGACTTTAAGAAAGAATTGAAAAAATGTTCAAAATAATTTATATCTAATTACAATGGGAATTGACGACAAAGGGGAGGTGCGATGGCAACTGACGATGGAGGAGAGGTGCAATGAAGACCAACTACAGAGGGGAAGAATAGGCTTAAAATCCCAACAACGGAGGGTAGGAAGAATGTTAGCGTCTCTCTCTCTCGTCTACTGCAACCACTTTTTTTTTTTCTTCCAAAGATTTGTCTAATCAACTTTTTAGAAAATAGTATAAATTTTTTTTAACCTTTTTACCTTTTTTTTAAGAAATATCTATTTTAGACGAGAAGTATTTTTTTAACAAAAGTCTTTAAAAAAAAAAAAAACCTCATCCAAACGGATTCTAAACAGGTAGTTGTTTGCCTCCTAATGTATCTTCTTGCTGGAAAATAGAGTTATATATTTTTTTTCTTTTTATAATGTGAAAAATTTTGCAAATGTGAAGGAGCTGATTCAGATTTGACGATATTCGTCTAGTCGGTGATACATACCAGTACGGCACCATCAGGAAGAAACAACCGGGAAGCCTGCCGGAAGGAGCTTGGTCCGCCTTCGTAATTTACTAAATTCCAGTTAGGTAAGAGATCTCTTGCATTCAAGCCGCCTGAGCCTCGATCGCGGTTTCCTTTCCCATTAGTCTTTTTTTATTAATTAAAGAAAAGAAAAAACGACAAAGTAATAAATAAAAAATGACTTCGAGACCGTAGGTGTTACCGTGTTACTGTCTTTAGCCGAAGACTTGCGAGTCAACACGCGGGTGAGTCGACTATAACTCAAGGCGCGCCTCGATGGTTGGGCCACCCGGCGGAGAGAGAGATTGACGATTGTGGTAGCGCGAACAGCAATGGAGCAGGCTGTGGAGAAACTCAAAGAAGCAGCACACGCTGGTAACACAGAATTGTTGCTGCAGCTACATCGACAACATCCCCTGCTTATTGACAGAATCATCGTTGGTTGTTTCGGCGAGACGCCTCTGCACGTGGCAGCACTGCTCGGCCATTCCGAGCTGGCCAGGGTGCTTGTGGATCTAAAACCGGAGCTAGCCGAAGCTTTAGATTCAAGTAGATCGACGCCTCTTCATTTGGCATCGGCCAAAGGGGACATCCAGATTGTGCGTCATTTGGTCTCTACCAAGCCCGAGATGTGCTCGGTTCTGAATGGAGAGGGGTTAAACCCGCTGCACCTTGCAGCCATCAAGGGTAAAGTAGAGGTTTTGAGAGAGTTGGTCCGAACCAAGCCAGAAGCGGCTCGGGCCACTTCTAGCCAGGGGAAACCATCCTGCACCTGTGCGTCAAGTACTTTCAGATGGAGGCTCTAAAGCTATTATTGGAGACTGAGAGTACGGCCCCGGGGTGCATGGGTGTACAGGAGTTGATCAATGCCAAGGATGAATATGGCAACACCTTATTGCATATAGCAGTTGCAAATAAACAAATCAAGGTATGTGGTCTTTGGTATAAAGTTTTTTAATAGCACAATTGTCATTTTTATTTTGCGTTTATTACTAAGTTAATTAATCATTATAGAAGTGTTTCATTTTTCCTTTTTTTTTTGCATTTTGTCATATAGTTTTTTGTTTTCAATATATTATTTTCTATTAAAAGATTTTAATGCTATAATATTAGTTCCCTCAAGTTTGTCAAGTCAATTTGTATATTTATTTTTGGACAAGTAGCACTTCACTCTTAGAATAAAATAAATATTCCTTTACAAATATTAAATTTATAATATTTATCTCTCTAAATTAATATTTTACTAAAATAATCACTAGAAATCCTATCTTTAAGAGGTATATGTCTTGTCATATATAGATGTTTAAAGAAAATAGATACACATGATTTTTTTGATTCCAAAAAGCTCCCAACAAAATTAGAGGACGAAAATTTTCAATCGGCAGTAAAAATTGATAATTGGCATTGGAAACACGACATTTGACAAGGGCTCTATCAAGACTTCACCAAAGCTTACTATACTCCATTTTGATAACTAACACTACAACATTAACTTCTTGAACTCTTGCAAGAAAGTCTAACCTCCTGTTAAAAAAGTCAAATTTGATTGGAATTTCTGGTCATTGGGATAGCGGCTCAGATGAGGAATGGACTTTCTTCTAGGTGTCGTAGCAATGTATGTTGACTATCAATTATTAAAATAGAACATAGTGTGCTTTAGGCAGAGTGTTGATAATATTTATGCCGATTGTCAGATTTTTACAATTGGCTGTTGATTTTCTAATATTGACTTTATTTTCAAAATTTATTATGATCTTGTGCAAATTAAAAAATCATGTATATCCACTCTCTAAATATTTATATATGAAAAAATATTTATACCTTTTAAAATTAAAATATTTAGTGAATATTTTAACAAAATATTATTAAGAAAAATAAGTGTTATGAATTTAATATTTGTAAAAAAAAATTATTTTATATATTTATGATAATATTTTAAAACTCAAATTACTTCAATCAGTTCAACCGGTTCTATTGTCACTGGTTTGCCAAGCGGTTCAAATAAACTCCTAAAACTAAAATTATAATCTGATCGGTCAAATCCGTTTAAACCGGTCAAAAATTGTAAAACCTACCCTTGTGACCGGTTTATTAAATCCAGTTAAAAAATCCAACCCAACCCAATACCAACCAAATGAAAGAGGCTCTCGATGTCATCCATCTCCCTTCCCAAATCGCCAATCGATGCTAGGCACTAAACAGATCAGAAGAAAAGAAATCTATCTCCTCCATCTCCCTCACTCTCAATTACATCAGAGCTCTTGTAACTAGTAGAGAGTAGAAGGCAGTAAAGCAATTTGTTGGAGATCGTGGTGGTCTGTTTTGGGTTTGTAGAGAGAGAAAGGAGGGCAGGGAAACTAATTAGCGGAGAGCACAAGGCAATGAAGCAATTTGCTAGAGCTTTCTTCCTTGCATTCGTGGTGCTCTGTTTTGGGTTTAAAGAGAAAAAGAGCGAAGAAAAACCAATTAGCGGCGAGCACGAGGCAATAAAGCAATTTGCTGCAGCTTTCTTCTTTCCGTTCGTGGTGCTCTGTTTTGGGTTTGTAGAGAGAGAAAGGAGGGAAGGAAAAGAGAGAGAGCTGAATTTTAGGCCTAATTGAGTGGAATGAACCCTCAATGGCAAAGAGTAAGGAGGACAGAAAAACGTAGGGCTAAAATTTAGCCAAAAGGCACTCATTTATAAATTTATTTATTTTTATATTTTTTGTTATTAACTATATTGACGATAAGTTGAAACGTGATTTGATAACTTTATTGATTTGATCACTACTTTGGGTTATCTCGAAATCCAGCATCGGTGTGTTCGTATTTGATATTAACCAGTGGGTATAGGAAAGCAAAATCTTCAAATGCTTTTTCTTTATCGTATAAAAAAGAATTCTTTAAACATGGAAAAATTAAAGCCATTTGGGATATTGCTTGCTAGTGGAATCTATTGCATCTATATATTTTGTCCACACACGTTGGATCTTTTTCTACTTATTAAAGCCAAGTGGGATCTTACTTTGAGAAAACTCGCGCACAGCCACACAAGTGTTTTCAAATGAGAATTATATAAATTTTTATATACAAGCTTTTATTTTACAAATTATTGATGATTTGCAGACTGTGAGGTATCTTCTGGCAACTGGTAGAGTGGATGTAAATGCAAAAAATTCATATGGGTACACGGCGTATGACATTCTAGCTCAATGCAGAAGAGATGTGCTAGATTGGGACATTGGAAATTCTCTCCAAGAAGCAGGAGCCTTGAAGGGAAGTGCTGTTACTTGCTTACCTATTCCCGTCAGATGTTCAAATTTCCCAACCCACGCGACTGCTCACAGTCAAGCTAGAATATCACCAATTAATGACGAAAATCCACAAATGCCCTCATTTCTATGCGCTGATAACAAATCAGAAGCAGAAGAAGGAGATAATAAGCCGCAGAGACAACTCAATCAAGGCGAATGGTTGGCCAAGAAAAGAGATGCACTAATGGTTGTGGCATCGCTTTTGGCAACAATGGCTTTCCAGGCAGGGGTGAGCCCTCCAGGCGGAGTCTGGCAAGAAGATTCACCAGGACAACATAGAGAATATAGAGCGGGGGAAGCTGTTGTTGCTTATAATTATCCGGAAACCTACAAATATTACCTTCGTGCCAACACTATCGGTTTTGTTTCATCTTTAAGCACAATTCTGTTTCTTATCAGCGGACTACCCTTCAAGCGCAAGACATTCATGTGGGCTTTGGTGGTGATTATGTGGTTGTCAATTACGTCCATGGCATTTACTTATTCCTACTCTATTGTTGCAGTCACTCCAATAAAGGACAGAGAGCCACTACGTCGCACAATGTATGTCGCTGCTCCAGTGTGGTGTAGTGTGATGTCGCTCCTGCTTCTTGGGCACACTTTGCGCTTAATAGAGAAGTGGTTGAAAAGGAAGGGTATAGACATCTGGAAACAGCTTAGAAAATGTTTAAATTCAGGGGAGGTAAAGCAAGCCAATGGCAACCAAGCCTAGACCTTAATATATTCACAGAGGGTGATCAAGATAATCCAACAGCAACACTTGTCTGTGTTTGTGTTTGTGCTTGTGCTCGTCAAGGTTGTGTGTCATTCAAATTTAATTTTTGTGTATGTCGTAATGTCTCTATATCAGTTTATTCTAGTATCTAATAATCGTGCAAGCTTGTTATAGCCTATCTATTCCAGTTGTCATAGGAAAATTTGAACAGTGATGTAGTATAATGAGTTTATACTTTGTTATTTTCCAAGTCTTAAATTGACATGAGGTAAAAATTAGAACTCCCTGTACCATCATAATAGAAACTATTTCAAAACATTGTTGAAAGAAGAGGATTATAACTCACAAAACGCAGTGAAAAAGAAGAGATCTGAAAGCCCCAGAATGAATTTATAATTGCATAAATACGCAAAATGCAAGATTTAAACAAATATGTATAATGTTGCCGACTCTATCTTAGATCTGCCACTTTTTTGCACGTTTGTAACATGCTAAACGCAATCTAGAAGTGCACTTACTTGAGAGCTCTAATGTGAGAAATCATCTAGCATATCAAACTGACAGAGTCCTTCAGATCACCCCAAGCAGCCACAAGGAAGACTTTCTTATGCGAAACTCCAGTTGAATTTATGTTTTTTTTTTTTTTTTTTTTTGGGGGGGGGGGGGGGGTTGGGATGAAAGTATATTAGCAGTCTTTGGAAAATTCAATTTCATGCTTATTTTTGGACGAGTCATATATAAAAATACTATTAAATCATTCATTTTATTGCAAGAGCTCGATATCATTCACTTAGCAGATCGATCTTCTTCACTGACTTGTCCTCTTGATTTATCTACCATTTTAATCCTGCAATGAGAAAAAAATATATATAAGAGTTAAAATTTTAATTTGGCTTTAAACATATGATAAACATTACGCATACGTGAATTATAATAGCAATTGCATGCATTCGTTATGTCAATAATAATAAAGAAATAAATAGAAAATCAGATCACATGTGTTATGTCCTTGAAAATTTTATTTATTTATTTATTTTAAGTAATTTGGATTTCAGTAATTTAAATGAGGTGTGTTTTTAATAAATGCATGGTACTATTTCATAGAAATATATGATATTTTTTTAATTTAATTCATCTTAATTTTTTATTTACTTGATAATTTAAATTTATTATTATTATTTAAAACGATTTTATTAAACTTTTATTTATTTTATATTAACTGACAGAAGATTTACGGAAATGATCCAAGAATGCTTATCCTTTCCACTTTAAGGTAAAGACAATATGGACACTTGCAGAAGATAGGACATGCTAAAAGTTTTGCAAAAACTTGAAGGACAAAATGGTCATTTTCTCAACCAAATATTTTTTTAATTTTTGTGAAATATTTGAATTAAGAAAAAAAAAAAGAACAACACAGCAACGAGCCAATCTAATGCACGTCATAGGCGAACCAACCACGCAACACTATGTGGCCAGTCTTTTTCTGATTTATTTGATATTAAATCCTAATCCATTAGATCAAGAGTCTTAGCATTTATTAGATCAGTAGTATTTGATACTGATCTAATACCTATGAGAGTGACTAACCCATTGGATCATTCTATAGCATCAATTACAAGGCTTTTCCCTCGATTGGGTAATGACCCAATTTTTGGGTTTGATTTAGATGAAGGGCTTAATTGCATAATTTTAAACCTGGGGGTCTGAATTGAGAAAACATGTAAAGATGAGGGCTTAATTGAAATTTTTAGGGGCCAATTTGAAGAAATTAGAAGAGACAAGGGTTTAATTAGAA